GAATAATCTTATGTATCCATTTTCCAGTCATGTCATTGCCAAACTTCCATTCATGACCTTAACCTAGAATCAGGAGTTGGATGACTGCAGCTCATTAAAGTAAAACTGCTGTTTGATGAAGCCACAGGCCAGACCTGGGGGCTGCTGCACAGCCAGCGTAGGTTCCTCGCTGCTGTGGGACAGCTGAGGAAGAGGTGAGGCTGTTGGCTGCCTCGGGTAACAGGCTGACTGTCACCACTGCCCACGTGGCAGTTAGTTAGTTACAGCCTTGGGAGCTGCCAGCAACAGAGCGTGTCTGAACACCTCCACCCAAGTTCAGAGCACCTTTGCTGGCACAAGCCAAGCTGAGACCCCAGCTTTTGCACTGACAATGGACATTTTTCTCTACTGTGGTATGTTGGCTGCAGAGGGCAGTTAGCAAAGAGGAGCAGGGAAGGGCTGCCAAGACTGTAACTTGGTTTGGATCAAGGGAGCTACTAACTCATAATCAATGTGAACAGCCAGACACAGCAGGCACCGCCCTGCAGCTGTTGGCCTGGCTGTGTAACACACCACCAGCAGTAGTTTAAGAAAACCAGAATTGTTCTTCTCTTTCACCACCCAGTTTCTGTATACTGGGGCATGTTACACAGGGAGATGGCTGCGAGTCCTGGCAGCAGGGAAGGGAAAGCAGGGAGGGCAGTGCAGGCTCTGAAGGGCTTCAGGAAAAGGGCTTGCAGGTCCAACCAGGAAATCTGAGTGTGTCTGAATCTGGAGTTTTTCCTCTTTCCTGCCAAGAAAAGAACTGCTCTAGCTTTAGTATTTCTGTCAGTCAAGTGCTTTCTTTCCTTTTTCCCCCTCAAACTAGATTACATGCATCAAACTCGCTTTAATTTGCACCATGGTGTCACTAAATGCCTGAACACCCCCACACTGAGCAACAGGGGCATCTTCCCTAGAGCAGGTTTACGCTGGGAGGCGTTAACTGAATTTCTGCTGCTTGGCTTTGGTTTCTGCAGGAAGTTGTTGCCCACTGGATCGCTGAGTGCCGCCTTAGCATAGAACAGGCTCGACTGCTTACACTGAAAACAGCCTGCAAGATTGACATGTTGGGCAACAGAAAAGCAAGAAAAGAGGTAATTTTTTTTTATTATTATTTTTTTTTTAGCTTTAGGCTAGGACTTGGGGATGCAATACCTGTACACTTAACGAGTTGAAATACAAACTAAAACAGATGGCTAAAAGTTATCCTTCTAATGGTGGAGCTTCATATTGAAAATAGACAGCCTTAAGATGTGCTTTTGCTTGTCATGAGATTGGAAAGTGTTCTCAGTTAAAAACTTTGAGATCAATCTGATAAAGTGTTTAAAAATTAAAGTTCAAGTATTGCTCACCTGTCTCAACACAGTGAGGTAATTTTGGGTGACTGGAAACAGTTTTACCTCACCCAGGGAACAGGAACAGCAGAGCTCTCATCCAATCCAAAGAGGAAGGAATGTACTGGGAGATACCAATCATCAGTGGAATTGTTAGATTAATATTTTCTGTTGATTATGAAACTATTACTGATAATGGGAGTTCTCTTCTAACTCCAGGTAGCCATGACCAAAGTGGTTGTCCCTCGAGCTGTGCTTAAAGTGATTGACTGTGCAATCCAAGTGTGTGGTGGAGCTGGAGTTTCCCAGGATTTTCCTTTGGCTTCTATGTGAGTAAAGGGAGACTGAGCTGTAGACTCTTAAGCATTCCTCTTAAGATAATTTTATAACACCAGCACATGCTGTTTCACCTCGGGTAGCTCAAAGTAACAGTCCATATGCCTTTAAGCTATAAAATTTAAACCAAATGCTTTTATAATTTAATTCTAATGCAGTTGCATAGCTTTAGCCTTAACAACAAAACCAATTTTAGGTCCTTGCCTGCTTTATCAGCAGCAAAGAGGATCTGTTTCTAAAGCTCAATCTTACCGCTCACGTCCCTGGAGAGAAGCAAGCTTCTGCATTTCTAGCCCACACATCTCAGTCCTCCCAGGACAATCAATCTTGCTGCAGTATCTCCTGTGTGAAAGCTCTTTTCAAAGAGTACTGCTAGGGCAGCTATAGGTGAAATAGTGCTGGGAGCTCCTGCTGTCAGCCTGGCTGGCTGCTGTGGCAGGATTAGAAACCTGCCCCTCATTCAGCTCTCCCAACACAGGTTTGCCTATATACGGACCCTGCGCCTGGCAGATGGACCTGATGAAGTTCATCTCTCAACAATTGCAAGGTGGGAACTGCTTGATCAGTCAAAGCAGATAGCTGCTAAAATCTAATGTCAGCATAAAGCTGTTTCCAATGGATGGAAGATTTTGTTCAGTGCAATAGTGTTGTTTAAGGTAAAATTGGATCAAAAACTTGATTCTAGCTTGAAACGATACACATTCTCTCCCTCTTTACTTGTGATTATTACATTTAATAATCAGGGGCTTGCTTTTAAAAGTTTGCAGAATGCCATGTAAATACCAGAATTTGGTCTGGGTTCTTTCTAACACTAAATAAAATCTATTTTCTAACCGGCCTAAAGTGCTTTATTTGCTCTGAGCCAAAGCCCTCTTTATCCTTGTGTTGCAGGCAAAACAGTTCTGACTCAGCAGTTTCACCCAATTTAGTTTATTGCAAACTCTTCACTTTTTGATTAAGTGACACTGAGGTTAATGCCTGCCTTTTTCCTTTCCAAAGCCCATCCTCAGTCCAACCCCCTTTCCTCCCCAGTTCCTGCTCTCAGCTGCACTCCTTTTCACTGATACAACAGTCAGTCCTTCCCCTCCCTCCCCTTACATGAGGCTACATGAGGCTAGGGGCAGCACAGGAGGCTGGGTCAGTCTGAAGCAGTTTGTCTGCTGCTTCCTGCTTCTTACTCTTCTACTTCATTTCTTATCCCACATTTCCTTCTCAGTGCCCCTTGTGTTTTCCCTTGCAGCCTCACAAGCCTGCTCCAAGCCTCAGTTGCTCCCACCCTTTCTTAAATAGGTCTAAGCACAGATGGCACCTTCACCTCTGAGGAACTGGAGTTTTGGCTTGAACCAGCCCTGACTGGCACAAGGCAGTTCATGGCCTCCTCTGCTGCCAAAACAGGCTCTGCCATTTTATGTCCAGTACACCTTTGTGAAGTTCTCACAGGTCAGCATCTCTCAGCTCTGCTTCTGTAACAATCTTTCATGTTAATTAGTTACAACAGAGCTTGTTCCCACAGTAACAGAAGCAGGCAGAGCACAGCATACCACTCTAGCAGTAGTTCTACTTCCTATAAAAGTAGGACAATCACTTTTCAACTTACACAGGGTTGATCAACAATTAACTTAAGGATACAAGTGCTGACTTTTTGCATAGACAAACAAACCACCCTAGCATTGTGGTGGAGCTTGGAGACAAGATGCCCCATTTGGCTCAGTCTTCACCTACAGTCAAGTGTTCACCTGAAGGCTGCTGAAGTCAGTTAGGGTGGTAGTACCTAAAACCAGAAGCTTTCCGCAAATAAGTTTCTTACTTCATATCAATTCATTATACCTAAAAAACCCAAGATTACAATCTCTTTTGCAAAAGCAATAACTATTGTTTATATTTCCATCCATCTTAGTCTCCTCTTGTTTGTGCATTTCAAATACACAAGAACCTGCACTGCACCACTGCCCCAGGCTGTCAAAACCCACACAATGTGTTTTTCCAAGTGAGAATGCCCAGGACCCCTGTTTGGCCACACTGACCAGCCTTGTTTCTCAAGCCTTCAAAGAACAGCTACGTAAGACCACCACCTTTATCTCATTAACAAGGCTCTTAATTCCCTTTATTTTAAAATTTTATGTACATATGAATGATCTGTATAATGTACACTCAATATAGAAAGTTTTTATATACTGGATAATGTATAGAACATTTCACAATTACACTAATTTCTTACATAACATGTCAACTTTAAGTTTTTTTGCTGAAGCTTTGTCAATTTGGTCAAGCCAGTTATACATACAAATGTCTAATGCTGTTTGATCTCGGGAAGATGAAAGTGTTAATGATTAAGGACATCAGTGAACTGGTGCAGGGACAAACCCTTTGCAACTCACGTTCAATGTGAGTGATCACATCAGACTGGGAAAAGAAGGGATGCCTTTTGGCAGAGGGGGGAGGTCTGTGAGGTCAAAGTGATTTTAGCCCAATTCCTCTAGACTGTAGCTCAACTCCAGTCATGCTAATTCATAAAATATAAAAACTAGGAAAGTCTGATTCACAGTCTTGTAAACAAATATAAAGGAACAAAATGTGCTTAATGTACAACAAGAAAAAATTCTTGTGTACCCATTTCAGCTGATCCACAGAGTGCTTTCTTGTGTTACAGTGTGATAGTTAGAATCACTGACTGTTCCTAGAAAAAAAACACCACCAAAAAAAAGGTCATAGAAAAAGGAGTAACACTGTCATTAAACACTTGGAAAGGCAGGAAGTTCACTTCAATGTGTTGGAGGAAAGTGCTGTTCCTCATCACTGGCCAGTCTGCCTTTCTCTCTTTCAAGAGAATTTCCAGTCCTTAGCTGACATCTCCCACTTCGTTGTCTACCGGGGGTGGTACGTTGGGCATTACAGAGGATGTCGTCCCTGCAGTAAGGTAACCAGCAACTCCAGGGCCTTTTGGGAAGAGAACAGAAGATTGGTGATTAGTTTTGGTTCTGAAGAGTGACTGAACAACTTTATTCCCACTGGTAACACCCAAATGCATCATCCAAGTCAACCAGACACCTTAAACAAGAACATTTAAGAGTTTCCGTTCAGATTCTTTGGAGTTTAGGAACACTAGGAATTAAGGTCTTAGCCCACTAAGATGGAGCAGCTTGTGAAGGCCATTCTCAAACTTGCTCAGTGTTTTGGTTTTTTTTCCTGATGTGCCAAATAAGTTACAAAAGAACCCAAACCACCAGCACTATCCATCTTACCTTCCACCATGAAAGCAAAGAGGGTAAGTAAAGTAAAGGAAGGGGTGGCCTTCGTTTGCCAAGGAAAGGACCTGCTGCAGAAGTGGCCTGAGTTCAAGCATGCATTCTGGGGCTGGGCTCCACACTTAAGCCTTCCACATTGTGAAGGTTTTCCCAGCCACATATTTAAAGGAAGCTCAGGTGCTGCCCGATGAGTGAGCAGAACTGGCTTGTGCTTGTCTAGGCAGCTCTTTGTGACCTCAGAAAAAGTAACAGCATTCCTGGGATACACAAGCTCTGGATTGGAGCCAGAACCCCTGACTATTAATAAATTTATGTCAATTACTATAGGGTCAGTCAGTTTTGCACTGCAGACAAAGCTCCTCTCCTCCAAAGCCTGGAGTTTTTAGTCATATAGAAACTTTCAACAAATGCAGTAAAAACTCATGTTGCAGCATGAGGTCTTTCAACAGCAGCTCTTATCAGATTAATGACTGTAGAAAACTGCCCACCCTCAACATCTCCCTGCATCAATAGTGACCAACTTGGTATTAGACCTTCAGCCTACACTGCTAACCTGCAACATGGTAAATTCTGCTGGGTTCTTTACTCTCCCCCCCTCAAGTCATCCTCACTAAATCCTCCTAAATTTACTATACCTTCATGCCCCACCCTCCCTTCTCACACTACAACCTGGAGCCAGAACATCAGAGCATGGTTTGTCTCCTTGCAAACACTCCTACACTGCTGCTGCTGCAAGCAGGAGAGCAAAGCAAGCGGTGCCTTTGGTGAAAAAAACAAACCCCCAAAAAAAGCTGCCTGGCTTCAGAAGGGGACCTGTCCTTCTCCAAGAGCCAGACACGTGTACATGTCCTCCTGCAGAAAACTCCACTAGTTCTCTTGTCTCTCAAACTTTTAATTACAGAGGATTCCTAACATACTTGAGAAGTTTAGTTCATCTGCAGTACAAGCAATTATCAGCCCCTGCAGTTGTTAGTTTGCTGCTGCTGTGTGCTTGAAGGCAAGTTTATCGCTGTTTTGGGACCACACATCCGTTACAGTTTATGACATGCATCTGTTAACATGGAATGCAGCAAGTGTGGCGTGCGTTTTGTGAGATGGTATCTACCTGCTTTAGAGAGCTACACAGAAGTTAGCAAGCTGCCTGGCAGAGCAGATCTAAAGCCCACTTCTCAGGTGAAGGGGACTGCTGCCAGTTAGAAGGGAAGGAGAAGAGACACCTGAGGGAAGAGAAATAAGCAAAGGGAAGTTTCAAGGGAAGTGCAAATAGCAAAGAAAATTGAAGCAAGACATAAGGCAGAATACAAGATTAAGGCAGGTTAAAAAAAAGCGTGTAGTTTGGTTTACAGCTGTACTTTGCATCTGTACAGAATCTTCATTCTACGTTTGTACGCACTTAAACATTAAGCAATTTAAATGCAGCACAGGCCTTAAGGCAGTTGGATAGCTCTATTGCTCCCAGACTTAAGCCTGACAATATCTGGTACAGTTTCAGGTCTCAGCCAGTCATCAGCCAGCATTTACTTCATATGTCTTAATTTATAGTATTTATGAAATACCAGGAAATTCAGTACCAGATGAATCAAGTGTTCTGTGTCAAAGTGGCATTAAATGGTACAATAAACACAAAACTCCTGTTCAGAGCTAAAGCACCAAGTCTTTCCTGTGTGGAAAAACACATCATGTGTTACAAAATACCTACGCTCAAAATATTAAGCATCTGCTTCTAGAATGGCCAATTCCAGACTTGAAAGGCTCTTGCTTCATTTTCTCAAAATACATGCTAGTATCTTGCCAGAAAAACCTTCCTGTCTCTATAGCCACCTGATTTATACCCCAGCAACTCAATTACGCTCAAAAGCTTTACCAAAATTCCTATATTGGGTTAGATGAGAAAGTTCCATGCGGCACATATTGACTTGTCACAAAGGACTTCAAAACCTTACCTGGGAGGCTAATCTTTTAAGACCAAATGATTGTTCAGCTGATGGCTATTGAGGATTCAGAGGTTTGCATCCTGTTGCTTTAGACAAGGTTTGCTACAACATCATTACATAAAATACTTTCAGATATAGCAAGTAATCCGTGATAGCAAAGTTTTGGACTGTGATACAGCCGAATGTAGCCATTAAAGGTGTGTCTATCAAATGGTGCATGTGAGTGAAGGAAGAACCAGAATTTGATTTGCTGTTTTCAGATTGTAAGAACATAAGGAGGGCAACAAGAAAGCTGGGGAGGGACTTTTCATAAGGGCAGTTAATGACAGAACAAGGGGAAATGGGTTTAAGCTGAAAGAGGGGAGGTTTAGATTAGATATTAGGAAGAAGTTTTTCACTGTGAGGGTGGTCAGACACTGGCACAGGTTGCCCAAGGAAGCTGTGGCTGCTCCTCCCTGGAAGTGTTCAAGGCCAGGTTGGATGAGGCTTTGAGCAACCTGGTCTAGTGGAAGGTGTCCCTGCTGATGGCAGGGGGGTTGGAACTGGATGATCTTTAAGGTCCCTTCCAACCCAAACCATTCTATGATTCTATGATAACTGTTTAGGATTCTGCCCACACCGTGCCATTACCATCAGGGGAGTTCTCATCAGTTGCTCTCCTTTGTATGCACACAGCATGCACAGTTAGAATCCTCTCCTCCACTGCAAGTGGGACTGAAACTGCAGCCCAGGGTGCCACCTCAGTCTTGGTGACACCAGCAGGGACTCCCCCTCGGTGCACTACAGGTGCATTTACATCTATGCCCCAAGCTCTGAGTACAGGCAGGCAGCCATTCCCACCAGAGAAGGGCCCTGCCAGTGCACTGTGTCTGACTGGAACATGGCCTCATGCTCTGAGCTGTTAATGTTCAAACTGCTCCAATGCTACAACTATGCACCTGACACTAAGGCAGAGTAACTCACATGACAATTAATAAAAACAGTCTAGGTGATTTTGAAGAAAGTTTACTCCTCCTCCCCCAGCCTCAGAGAACAATTTTTTCTAGAGCTCAAGCAGACTGACCCTGAGAGAGCATGGAAAGTTACGGTCACTCACTAGTTCTGATTACGTCTCTGCTTTGTCACTACAGGATACGTGCAAGACTTGCCAGTGTCCAGATTCCATTGCTTTGATATTTTAGAATTAGGCACAGTACCCAGAGAAATATATTCTTAACCACAAAAAAAGTTGAGCTTCTGATAAGTGTTTTTAAAGCTTACTGGATTTTTACAGCTCACTGTATTTTTACAGCATGGAATGTTCAGGTCACATGATGGCACTAGATCCTGAGGATAAACACCATTTTCAGTTTCAAGTCTGACAATTACATAACAGTTCAGTATGATTCAGGACATAAATAGTAAAGGTTGGTAACCTGTGAGGTATCCTGCTGTTTGCGTCTCAGAAATGAACAAGTCATGTTTCTGATCCTTGAAGGCACTCCACACAGAAGAACGAGACAGGATTTCATTTACCTACAGTATTTGAAGAGATTAACACAGTGAGCAAATGACACTTTTAAAATTCTAGGGGAAGAAATTAATTTTCTAGAACCAAACCAGGCAGTAGTTTAGGCTGTGAACAGAATCAAACATTTCCACAGAGACTGTAGCAACTTGCTTTTCCATTTGAATTGTGCAGCTGGACACAATGCCGAAGGCTCGTAAAGGAAAGTCACTTAGCAGCTTCACTTTCCCTCATCCCCCAGTTAGCTAACAAGGAAAAGCAACCCTGCAAGCAGCCACTTGCCATACATCTAGAGCTGAGGTGGAACAGGACTCCTCCTGTACTATAGCAAGACAGGGCCAACTTGGAGGAAAGACCTATCCTCAGTTTCCCTCCCTTTGAGAAAGTTTTCAACACAGGGTTAAGAGAAAGACACCAAGAACGAGCACAGTTACTGCGAGAAGTTTTACCAACTTGTATATACACCCGTAACACCACTACAGCTGTCTCCAACAGTGTTTATCCAGGAAACAGAAAAGCATTTACATTTCTAACAAGTTCTGGAGAGTTGTCAGTAGAAGCTTATAGAACATAGTGTTCAGAAGGACTTGGGATTTGTCTTTTTTTGTAAGTGCTCTTCACATGCATTAAACCAATGACTTCCCCACAAGAGATGGAGATGTTCCAACCCATAATGATTTTGTAGTTACACGTTTTAGCTGGACTGATGCACATGACAGTTTGATATTCCAAGTGTACAAAGTCCAGTTAAGGACTTGTCAGTACTGACCTGTTCTCCATACTGCAGGCTGCGAGACATAGATTTCAGAGTTTTAACAATCTGAGCTTTCGTTGCAGATGGGCTTTCCAGGTTCTCAAGACCAATACCTTCAAGCAGCTTTAGAAGGTAAGGGACCAAATCTGCTTTCAAAGCCTGCGAACACAGCCAAATGAGTTGTCTTAACAGGGACTAGGAAGTTCCATACGGATGGTTTATGTTACTAGCATCAGTATGAACCAAAAAGTACCAACAGCCTTTAGTAGGTACGTTTAACTAGTCAATTTTACCCAAGCTATACAAATGCATACAAGAGAAAGCAAAGATCCTGTGAGCAGTTCTGCTTTCTCTGGGTGTAAACTCAGCTGAATTAGCTGGCATTCCTACATTACACTTTCTCAGTAGACACAAGCCAACACTATCCTACACATTAAGCTTCAACACTCAGAAAGCATTCTTGAACAGGTCCACATTTTGGATAAAGGACTGACTTCTGACTTCTCCAGCTTTTCAGCACATTATGGCGTCTAGGAAGCTCCCTGGACACTGACATTAAATGGTATCTCTGTTCTTACGAGCAGATTAGATAGCCAAATATAAACATTTTTACAGACTGAAAATATACCACTTACTTGGGCTACTAGGTCATTTTGTTCCTTCTGAAACATTCGATTAAGGGCTTCACAGGCTACACCAATGACATCTGATCTCTTTTTCATTCCATTCATGAGAGGGCTAATGGTCTCTAGTGATGCCATTGCTCGAACACAAAGCTATGGAGAAACAGAAACAGCCTCATGGTTGTAGCAGACATAGTCAGCCAAGACCATAAATTTCTCAGTGTCTTTAATCTACCAATTCCCCATTAATTAGCTGTAAGTCCCTGCTCTATCTGGTATGATGTATTTACAGTCGGAATAATGCCCTTCTAGGAACACTACTAAACAATACAAGTAACTCCAGTCGTGGGTTTTTTTTCCTCCCCTTGAGAAGTTAAACGATTCAGTACCTCATTGTCAGACAATATGTGCATGACACGAATGGCACTTTTCGGAATGGCATTGTTCTTGTGATTCATAGCTTGGATTATCTTGTGAAGATGACCAAGCGGAGGAACTTGATCAGCTAGCTGAGGCTGGGCACTGAACAGGCACACAGTTGCTGTGGTAATGGTTTCTAAAGTTTCCCCCTGCAGAAAACCAAAAACCAACAGAAAATATAACTCAGTAAAGCCTTATGTATCATCATAATAGTAACATTTCTCACTTGCCCTGCATTATAGATTTTCCTTCCCTTAATACATTTATCATGTCACTTTGCTTTGAAATTGTGAAAACAAGAAGTTTAGAAGAACACGATCAGCTCCAACAGTGGCAGACGTTTCACTAATTTCATGAACAAAGATCACACAAGTTTCTCAGCTCTGTTCTCTTCTTCTAGAGAAGCCACTGTCTGGCTGCAGCTGCTGCAGGCACAGCAGCACACGTGCCAACTTGCTGGGCGGAAGCATGAGAGCACAGGTGTATAGGCTGACCACTCACCATGCTTGCTGTGTTCTGCAAGCCTATACAAACTGCTGCCACATCTTTATTACAAAGATGTCTGTTTTATTCAATGTGCAAATTAGTTGCCTCCCTGCAAGTCTAACCCAGAATCTGTCTGAACAGTTTAAAATTCAATTATTAGTAATATCATTAAGTTACCAACTTGAACATCGTCCTCATTCAAACTGTAACACATCAGTTCTACTGCATTATGCTGATTGTTAGGTGGCAGTCTTGTACAGGTCACATAATTTACACCACAGCAGGAACTTAGTGTTGCAGAAGGACACTAAAAGTCTCAAGACCTGCAAGTTTTTAGGCAGTATAGAACAAGTGCCATTTTCTTAGCTTAGTCAGTCATAGAATAAGACACTTCATTTGTTAAGCCTCATCTCTACCATAAAATAAGCCTCTAAGACTTACTGAAGCTACTTTTGTGGCTTCAGGGACTTTGAAAGCACTGACTCATGTTCAGAAGTTGCCTAAACATATCTACATGCTTTTACAGAGAGTCAGAAAGCAGAAAAAAAAATTTATGTTGGGAAGAAAGTATGAGAAATTAAGTTAATCAGATACTAAAAGACAAGGAGCTTAAGACTGCTAAACAAATTCAAAGAACAGAATCAGGAAAATCATCTTACATGGGGGTTATTTTTCTCCAGTAGTTCAGTAAACTTTTCCAACAGTGCAATGAGAAATTCTCTTGGTTTCCGTAAAACCCAGGCCGGCTGGGCAATAAAAATCCTTAGGAAGACTCCCCCCACAGAAAGTTCACCTTCTGCCTCACCATACACCACAGCAAAGTCTTCAGGCAGCTGTTGAATTGTAAGTAGAAGCAGTTATTGGCAAAGTATTTGTGAGAGCTGTAACTGTTTCTCTAACACCATGACTAAGTGGTAAGGGTCACTGAACTAACTGTATTCTCCAAAATGGAGCTGTGCAAGATCAACAAATACTTCATCTTGAAGAAACATGAGGTAAGAAGTGAGAGTACAAAGAACAGTGCAGGCATTACTACTACAGTGGACTTCTCTTTCAAAGAACACAAGTAACTGAGTCTACAACTATCCTAGTGGTGAACACTACAAGAGAAATATCAGCCTTGTTGCTGGTACAACAGCCCTTTCCTTTCTTGCACACTTCAGGGGAAGGTTTCTAACCATTAACCTAGGGCAGTTTCCACCTCCATCAAAACAGCCATCCTGCATGTGTTTAGAAGTTGCTTTAAGGTTTAACTAGACCACTGTTGGGAGGAAGTCATGCCTGGCCTTTCACAGATATTGGGAAATACTACAGACAAACATCTCCCTGATTGACCTGATGTGATAGAATGGCTTGGGACAATAATTTGAGACCTGGTGCCTTACTAGTGTTTCTGAACATTTACCAAAAGCAAGTTTACTGCAGCTATGTAATAAGTGACAGGACTTTTTCCAGCAAACTGGTATTCTTTGTTGCTGACTTTTGGTAAGTTCTAGAATGACCTGAACTGTCAGAATATTCAGAGTATTACTGGCAAAACTGCTGCCAATAAAGTGTCTGCTTTCAAGGTACAAGAAGGAACAAAAGCATCAATTCAATATTAAAACAGTTATGTTAACACAGCAGTGAGTTCCTGTTGGTACTTCAAGAGGTAAGTCTGTCAGAGTTACACACACGCATATCTTATCAGCTGGCTTATAGTCTCCTTGGGTGCACTCAAAACAGAAACAGTGAACTTTTACCTTCCAGTTAGTGTCAGGGTTGTCCCTCTGAAGTTTAAAGTGCCTTTAAAAAGAAAACACATTTTAACAAGCAGTAAAAGAAGCAGTCATCTTCCCTACGTGACACCTCAGTCTCCCTCTATCACTGTGAAGTAGTTCTAAGTTTCTAAACCCCATTTTCTCCTCACTGTAACCCCCTCCCAAACCTTAGAGCAGTGAGCAAATACCTGGACTGTGCACAAACTACACTTGTATCACTGAGTTACAGGTAAAATACACAAACAGGGAACAAGTTGCTTTTCACTGAAGTCTGGCTTGCAAAGATTCTACTTTTTAAAGGCAGAGCTCTGACACTTTTTCTATAGCAACTCTGGATTACTGCCACTGAAAGAGTGCCTCAGTTAAGGAAACACTTAGTCAGTAGGTCTCCACATACTCAAGCATCATTTCTCGAACTGTTGTTGATACTCTCTCCCTGGAATTGTCATTCCAAATTAACTCAGGATTTTCATGAGTTCCCTCAAATATATGAACAGCAGCTTCAGGGTTGTCCCTCATGGCATCCATGAAGACTCCAGGTAAAAATTTCATTAGTGTAATTCGAACCTAGAAAGGATGAATAGAATTGACATGAAGTATACCATAAGACTAACTGACAGAAAAATAAAGAACTCCAGGAAGTCAAATTATTTGTAGTGCTATAATGCCAACTCTTAAAACATAATACCAGAAAATAAAATAGTGCTACAATTTTAAATAGTGATAGCCAGTGACAGGTCGGTATCTAATGTTAAAATAATTACAAATAGAAACAAACTGCTTACAGTAGTTACAATAAGTACAACTGCTTCCAGAATTCTGCTCATAGATTAAAGAGTTAACCATTTTGAAAAAGCCAGATTGCTCTTCACATGAATGCTTCAGTCACAGAAGAGGGATTTTTTTTGTTTCATCTTTAGAGAGAGGCTGGTAACATCAAGGTAGGAGGTCCAACAAGAGCTGTTAAGATTCTTACCTTTGGACCCACCAGCTTATCTGCAGTCATTTTGGCAAAGAGCTCTGCTGTTTGGGCTCGGACCTGTGGATGAGTTGAGTTGCAAAACATGTCTAGTAAGTAGATTAAAGCACCTGTACAAAGAGATAGGAAAGCATTCAAATTTATTTCTGTTAACAAGTAGTATGAATTCAGCAATTCCACACTGATGGCTCTAAAGGGAGGAGTAAGATTTGGCCACTGTTTTTACTTTAAGTCCAGTGTTGCAGAAACATTTGCTTTCAATGTAATACTGTACCTTTTGCCATGGCCTCTTTAATTATTTTTGTGCTAGATGTCAAAGCATACAAAGTTTCAAGGACAAGTTGCCGACCTGTCAAAATAAAAAGTATTAAGAACTTTGTGCTGTATAGACTATTGACTAATCAAAGATGAACTAAACTGATCTTAGAGGAAAGCTGTATAAAAACTACAATAGAGCTTATGACAACTGCAAGCTTAGGGATTTCTAGCTAAATTCAGTTAGTTAAGAAATGTCAAATCAATCATGCGTTCTGGTATGGCATAACTTCTTAATTGTATGTTTACTACCTAAATTCCCTAAAAGAATCGGTGAATGAAATACTATGCAATCCAAACACAATTTGAATACCTGCAATTCAAATGTTTCAGCTCACTCATGTAAAACAAACAGGTTACACAGAATAGTTTTTTAATCATCCCCACTGAAATGCTGTTTCAACCTAAAACTCAGTAGTAAGCTCAGCCAGCTGCATTCTAATTAGGTTTCTGAGCTGAAAACCCTTTGCCTTGCAAGGCTAAGAATTTAATGGTACATACTTGAAGGTAAGGAATGCAGGAGTGCCAGTAAGTTAGCAAGAACCATGGCCTCAGCAATGTTGTTAACACATTCTTGGTTACTTGTTACTATGTTCACTACCTGTAAAAGATTACAAACGACACTCAATTATATTCCAGCTGTTAAGACATTGCCCAGAAAACGCAGTGTATGATGAAGTCTGTCACCTCAGTGGCCAATATAGATAATATTTACAATGTTTATTCCTGCCATCAAATGAAGTCTTGTCACTACAGAGAAGGGAGGGAGCAGAGGGAGCAAAGTCATAGGCAAGAAGCTATCCCTTGTTCCTCCAAGGAAGAACTGACACTTTAGAAGCCCAATCTTGATACTTTTTAGGTGCTAATCAGGTTTGTTTATGCTGACTTCGTAGAGCAACCAGACACAGAGGTTTGAGGGTGTTTTGGTTTGTTTTTTTACCTCCAGAGCCAACTGCTGCACCTGGCCAGCTCCATGAACACGCAGAAGGGAGAATATCAACTTAAAGTGACCTATGCACTCACACTCAGAACCTGCAAGAGACCAAATAAGTTATTCTCTTTGTATTAGCCAAAACATTCACTGAAAGCCATTCCAAGCCCACATTTCACTATACAGAGAGGTTTTAAAGACTACACATCTGTATACAGTCTGCCACAGTAGTTATAACAGCTCATATAGTACAGAATGATAAAATTATGAAGTCCTGTCTATTAATCTAGCTTCCACAAAGTCTTAGGTCAACAATATTTCAAAATGAGAGGATACTTCCTCCCTCTAAGGCAAGTAACTGAGCTATTCCTTGGACTACTTAGTTACTTGCATTCTTACAAGACAATTAAGCAAGTTCAGTTATTTTATTTATTATTAGTTGTCAGTACTTCTTGTCTTCAAATCCACTTGCCCTTTCAGATTCTCCCAGCTCCCAGTAAGGTGGCTATCTGCAGCAGTAACAGTTGCCTTCAGGCTTATAATTGCCAAATATAGAGAATCCAGTCTGAGAACAACCTAACCAGCTATTATTAGAAATCATGACAGTAACAGGAATTGCTTTTAGAACTAGCATATAATACTGAAGGAAAACATCCTAATCACGTGTACAGACTTTTCCAGTCTGTACATTGGTATCTGCTCATAAATCTTTGCTGGTATTAGCTACCCACTCCCAAGAGCATCTTCTACTCCTGCGTTAGTAAGACCCTGAAATGCTTTTAGGTGTTAATAGTTTGCAGTGCTCAGCTCAAGGGTTTGTTTTGGGTTTGGTTTTATTGGGGTTTTTTTGGCTTGTTTGATGCAAGGAAGTTTAAAAATTAGCTAAAATTCTCTGATGCATTACAGAAAGTTTCATCAAAGACGTTTAAGTCTTCCTGGCAACAGCAGGCTAGAGTTAGAGTTAAAACCCAATGTTTCAGAGAAGAAAATACATAAGGCCTAGATTTCACACAAAACTTTAATACATCTACTGATAACGTTCTCCAGGGGGAAAAAAAAAAAAGCCTATATGGTTTATCAACAATGCTGTTAGCCAGCAAAACAAGCTTCCTTCTCACTGGAAGATAAAGACTACAGAGGTCCGCTTTTTTTTTTTAAGGTTGTCCACAAGAAAGCTTATCATGGAAGTTCATTTTTATGCCTACCTGGGTTGTGTTTTATGACATTTCTCAGAGCCTCCAGGGCCATTTCAACTCTTCGTAACCGATCTCCATGTTGATTGGACTCTACTTTCCCAGTCTGTGTTATTGCCATTAGCGTATGAAGGTACTGTGCTTGTGAGCCTATGTAATCCAAGAGGCTTGCAGCAAATGCTTTAGGAAGCTTTAAATTAGAGACGAGAACATTTTCAGCTTGTGATGCAACAGCAGAAGAAAGTGTATTCAAATAACTTTTCCTACATTTCACATATTCCTTTCTTACAGATCGGAAACGTTTTTCTACTCTGATGATCTGGAGCACATTAACCCTATTTATATCTAAACATGCCCTTAGAAAGCTGCCACTACTTCAGCAGCATTCTTAAGGTGTATGTTCATCCATATATACAGACGGACAGCAAAGCCTCTAGGGCAGAATCATTACCTCCTGGAATTACTGAATAAACTGGAGTGTCTGCAGTGCATGCTTGTGGGAAAAAGGCATTAAGCCATCTGAAGCAGCATGTCTTATAACAAAGTCATTGTTCTTTTTAATTTATTCTACTCCAATAGAGAAATAACCCATAACATGCTGATCATGTTGAAGGAAATTTCCATAGGATTTTTTATTTTCTCCATTCTGTTTGCAATGACAGCTGAAGAGAAAGACACAGTAATCCAAATACTAGTTTCAACAGGAAGGGTTTAGCTACACCTCACCTCTAGTTGGAAGGTAGGGACCTCATTGTAGACTCTAACAAAAATCTCTCCCACAATAAGTTCCTTTGCATGGTCACTGAAGACAAAGTCAGATCCATAGCTCTTGTCACACTCACCCTTTAAGCAGAAATAATCAGCACAAGCTCAAACAGAAAATAATCTTGTAGAAAGTGTAAAGCTATAACCCAATAATGAAACAGACAATACTTGAACAGGAAACTTAAAAGCTTTAGCAAAAGTCAGAAGCTCAAGACAGACTGAAACATTACAAGAAATAAACAAGCAAACTCTTAGGTTTTTGGCTTTCTTTTTAAGACTCCTGAACGAAGAAAGTGACTCAAGAATAGGCAATGTATACTTGTATTAACTATACCACCCTATTACAAGCAGCTGTACCAAAACACAAAATGGTTTTAAAAAAGTATTAGTGGGATATAAAGTAAAGAGTATCTTACTCTCTTAATCATGCTTTCTTGTTGAGATTCCAAAAACTCAAGTAATTCAGCTCTTGTCCCATTGTTCCAGATCAAGTAGGGGTTCTCTGTGTTACTGTTAAGCATCTTAAGAGTCTAAGAAACAAGGAATTTAACATGATGTAACACTTTTTCAAATTAGTTCTGGAACATTACTCACAGTAATCAGTGTGTTTCAGGATATAAATCAATCTAATCCCATTAATAACCAGACTAATTTCATAAGCAGGTTTAAAGTGTCAAGTTTTCCACATACTGGAAAAACAATATGCATAAGTTATCTGGTACAATACAAACTATAACTTAATTTTTCTTTATTCTGCTTTGAGTCACACTTACTTCAGATTCTCTTATTTTTGAGAGGGAGCAGCAAGTATCTGTAGCCTCTTTTTGTAGATTACTTTCTTGGTACCATTAAAGAGAGTAGTTTAGCCTTTGCTCTCCATTATCACGATATCCATAAGCCTTCAACAACTACCTCAACTTCTTTGCTCCTCTATCGCTTTCACAAATATTATTCTATAGGGTACTGTTCCTATTCACAGTGTTTGAGGCTGAAACAGTTTCTTTTCCTTGCAGATACTCCAATTGCAAAGATAAATCACACTGCTGTTCTCTATATGGTTGGTCAGAGAGTTCAGTGTTTTAGAAGTGACCTACTCCTTCCATAAATCACTAGAGAAAGTTTTGGCCAACAGATGCTTACCTCAGTAGGACTGACCACAGCAAGTTTCCTTGCAATATAGGGCGTCAACATTCCAGCCAAGCTTTTCCTGATCGTTGGGTTTTCAGGTGTAGCTTGTTCTTCAAAGAGATACCCTCCGAGGCGACTCAAGGCCAGGAGACTGAGCTTGGCAAGGCTATTTGCTACCTCCTGAAAAATACAAACACTGTTATAAAAAAGCTAGAGCTTACTGAAGAAATATTAGCTAGAAAGAGTTGTCCAACACTTCTGCACCAGAATGAACAGAACTGGTATCCCCTGTTTATCTAATTTAATTATGCACTGATACCTAATGAAACACTAGGTGCTGCAGAACAGCACAGTAAGATCATTGGGTTGTAGGCTTAATAAATGTAGTTAGACATAAGCACTGGTAAGTAAGAAAAACTGGGGCATTAAGATGAGCTGAATGCTACAGAAGCTATTTAGCATAATAGCTTCTGACCAGACAACAGTTCCTGCTAGCACAATCAAATATCAGCATAATAAGCCTTTTATTGCAGTGATACAAGAGTTAATAACAACATAGACTGTTCAAAGCTCATCTCATCCAATAGCTAAGAAGTGCCACCCTCGGCAAGCTTGCCGATGACACCAAGCTGAGTGG